AGATAGATAGATAGATAGATAGATAGATAGATAGATAGATAGAAGCAGTTTATAGATAGATAGATAGATAGATAGATAGATAGATAGATAGATAGATAGATAGATAGATAGATAGATAGATAGATAGATAGATAGATTAAAACAGTAGATAGATAGATAGATAGATAGATAGATAGATAGATAGATAGATAGATAGATAGATAGATAGATAGATAGATAGATAGATAGATTAAAACAGTAGATAGATAGATAGATAGATAGATAGATAGATAGATAGATAGATAGATAGATAGATAGATAGATAGATAGATAGATAGATAGATAGATAGATAGATAGATGGTGTGCGAGCATGAGTCAAACAAGCCAACCCCCGCCTCTCTACGATGTTCTGATGCTGAGATATAGCTGCTGTTATATCGTTGCTAGGTTAGTCTGTTTTGTTGCTATGGAGTTGATTGACAGCTTAGACTGATGATGTATCAAAGCTTCTTGCCAGTATGAACAGTTAAAAACAACCCCCATGTCTCTATCACACTGCAGCATGACAATATCAGTCTGAACCTCTTTAATGGCAGTCTATGGGACAGTTGCTAGGGTGCAGTATCTGGTTGTTAGGGTGTGGCTAGAAAGTTAAAAGGACATCAGTGATTGGCTGCTGGCTAGACTGAGTTAAATGAGCTCAATCATTAGTCTGTAGGACAGTCTGATGCAGAGTTATGAGCTCACAAAGTTTGATCCCATGCAAAGTCAATGAGAGTATTTTGCAATGGAAGTCTATGGGACGGTTTCTAGGGTCCAAAAGTGGTTGCTAGGGCGTGGCCAGAAAGTTTAAAGGTGGTCAGTCATTGGCAGTTTGATAGTCTGAGTTAAATGAGCCCAGTTAGAAGTCTGTGTGACATTCTGATGCGGAGTTATGAGGTCACAAAGTTTGATCCAATGTTACGTCTATGGGATTTTTCCGATGGTCCCGGGACGTTTTTCGGAAAACCGAAAGTCGGATCAGTCGGAAAGGATATAGCAACTCGAGTCAGAATAGTTCGGAGGTCTGACCCGAGTTTGATGGTCATAGCTTGAAAGGCCTAGGACGAGATAGAGTTTAATTTTTAGTCTCAGAAGAAGAATAATATAGAATAATAATAATAATAAGTTTAATAGGATAACAGTAGTCTGGCTTGCTACACAAGCCAGCCTAATAATAAGTTTAATAGGATAACAGTAGTCTGGCTTGCTACACAAGCCAGCCTAATAATAATAATAATAAGTTTAATAGGATAACAGTAGTCTGGCTTGCTACACAAGCCAGCCTAATAATAATAATAATAATAATAAGTTTAATAGGATAACAGTAGTCTGGCTTGCTACACAAGCCAGCCTAATAATAATAACTAGATTCTTAAAGTTTGAGAACAAACTTTGAGGCTGGCTTGTGAAGCTTAGACTGAAAGTTTAAAGTAATTCTAAGTTTTAAGTAACTTAAAGTATAAAAGTAGTTTTGAATGTAAAAGTATTTTTAAGTAATTCATATTTTAGGTTGTTAAAGTTTAAAAGTCATTTTAAGTTTTAAGAAAGTTGAATATTAAAGGTAGCTTTAAGTAGCTTAAATATTTAAAGTAGTTAAGTAGTTATGTTTTTATGTAGCTTAACAGGGAAGTGAAACACTCAAATTTACATTATTTTGTACATTGAATTCCACTTTAATGAAAATATATTAAGCAAACTGGAATAATGTAAGTGTGTGTTTTGATGTGGGTGTATGCATGCATCAAGTTTATATGTATATATGTAAGTTTCATAAATGTTGTTTTGAACATAGGTTTATATGCGAGTAATGTATAGGTGCATATGCAGGTGTTTTATGTGTTGATAGGTACAGTTTGATTTAAATCCTACATGGCGCCTCATACGATCAACTCAATCTCTGAAAATGTATGAAGAACATTAAAACCTGCCATGTGAAAAACAGCGCCTATCTTAGCTTGGTTTGAACACCAAAAGAGGTGAAGGCTTTAGTGGAGAAGAGTAAATGTACCCGCCCCTATGACGTCACCACCGGACCTGGTTGAAACCAAGGCTGAAACAGGTGAGACCATATTTGGCGCGTGACACGTGACTATCTTTGGCGCGTCTGCTAAATAGGTTAATAACCCTCTGATGCTGAGTGAGCTTCTCTTTCATTATGACCAGGGGCGGACTTACCATAGACAGCACCAGGACATTTCACGTTGACCTAATGGTCAATCTGGAGTGCCACCGTGAATCTGGACCAATCGCCCACCACCAAGCGTGTAAGTGTATATGTCTGTGTGTGCACTTGTGTGACAATATGCCTATCTTTTTATTGAAAAGGGCCACCCCTTCTCAGGTGTGTTTTTCAGCATTGTGGCTGATTTATAGAATGTATACAATTCTCAGTAGTTCTGTGCAATTTATCGAAAATTCGATTTAGATTTTTACTTATAATGATTATAAAAAAAAAATTAATCCAGATAAAAGATTATTGCATCATATACCGCCCCGTTTAAAGCTGTACACGTTTGTTGCTCTGCAAAGCTCCGTTCCACGTGAAAATGACTAAAACCATGTGCTGTAATTTTTGCAACACGGGATGCGCATCATGCATTGATGTACGTTCGAATCCTTCATATATTTAATAGCGCGTAAGAGCACGTGCTGTTGGGTGTGTGCGAGCCTCGGAGCCATCTTAATGTGAGTGCTTTAATGGTCAAATACATGCACATTTGTGCCAGAACGCGGAGTTTAGTGATTATTCATAATAACCCTCGTTTGTGTAATAAACAAATAAGTTGAGTATCATGTATATATGTATAAGACATGTGAAAGAGAAACCATATCAGAGCCGCACTATTCTTAAAGAGACAGCGCGCTGAAAGAGCACGTGCTGTTGGGTGTGTGCGCGCCGCATGGAGACATGCAGAGCATACACATCTTAATGTGAGTGCTTTAATGGTCAACTACATGCACGTTTGTGCCAGAACGTGAAGTTTAGTTATTATTCATATTAACCCTCGTTTGTGTAATAAACAAACAAGTTGAGTATCATGTATAGCTGAGTATATATATGTGTAAGACATGTGAAAGAGAAACCATACCAGAGCCGCACTATTCTCAAAGAGACTTTTTCATTATTGTTAATAAAACAACAAATGGAGAAAACCTCTGCCCGCTGCTCTTGACTGAAGGATTTTTTTTTAGCAAAAAAGCATTTTTTACAGTGAAGATGCCTAAAGCACAGTTTAAACATAACAAATTTAATAACTCATTTCTAATAACTGATTTTATTTTATCTTTGCTATGATGACAATACGTCATATTTTACTAGATATTTTTAAGATACTAGTATTCAGCTAAAAGTGACATTCAAATGCTTAATTAGTGTAATTAGGCAAGTCATTGTTTAACAGAAGTTTCTTCTGCAGACAATCAAAAATATATATTGCTTAAAGGGACTAATAATATTGAGCTATTAAAATAGATTTTAAAATATTTAATCCTGCTTTTATTCTAGCCGAAACCAAACAAATAAGCCTTTTCTCCAGATGAAAAAATATAAGAAATACTGTAAAAAAAAAAATCCTCCGTTAAACATAATTTGAAAAATATTTATATATAAAAAAATTCACAGAAGGGCGAATTTTCACTTCAACTGATAATCGTTTTAAGTAAATCGCGATTACAACTATGACCAAAATAATCCCAATTATGTTTTTTTCCCATATCAGAAACTGTATTTCTCTCTCTCTCTCTCTCATTTTAATTACATTACAGCATCAATTCTTTAAAAGGAACACTATAAAATTGAAAAAGGCACAATAACTGTTCACCGGTAGTTTATCAATATGGGAAGAAACAATAGCTCAGCATATACCCTCGATCAATGTGTGAACAGATGTACAATGGAAATAATTAAAACCTCAGATTTAAAAATTGGCTTAAATTAACATCAAATAAAATTTAGAGAAGTTAGATTATTATAAGAAAAGTATTACAAAAACTGTTAAGGGTACCTAATATTTGAAATAAAACTACACCTTCTCTGAACTTTACAGATTTCCATGAGACAATTTGTTTTATGATTGGGTGCAGGGAGCCGAGTACTGCTCAGGAACAACAAACACTATAGAATCACTACCAAGGAACACTGATTCCTTTCGCTTCTTTCAATACATGTCCCTCTATGAACTTGGTATGCAAAAAAAAATAAGTGCGTCACTACCAGCTCTGTAACACAGTTTGACATAACGTAATGTTTTACAGCATGTACCTTCACTTTAATAAAGCTTGAAAGAATTCACACTTACTGTTCCCTGTATGCCGTGATGGAGGTGGGTGATGAGAATTTGGCAAATGGATAATGGTGTAGCCATAAATAATTGAAAACATAATTATTATTAAAACTTAAAAGGTTGACTTGAGAAAAGTTTGATTTAAAAGTTTGATATAGTTCAAAAAGTTTTATGATAGTTAATGGTGTGAAATGATTAGACTTACTATGTAATGCAGAATTATAATGGTAAATAAACACAATTTACACACATTTAATTTTTTATTAATTACAATTGTATTATTGTGTAAGTTAACAAAACCGAAATACACATACATTGTTTCAAATATTTAATTCAACTAGCCTAATGTAAAATAGAAACCGTAAAGAACAAAGGTAAAACAGAACTGTAAAGAACAAATTTAAATGACTGTAGCCTAATTGACAAAATTAAGCATACTGGAAACTTTACTTGAGGGTTGTTCATTAGACTGTCATGAAAACTTTAGAATCATGACACGATATGTATATGAGAGTTTATGCATGCTTATGACAACTGTCATTAGCACAGTTATGTCATTTTAAATGCTAAAATTACATAATGTGACATGGCAACACGTTCATAACAACATGACATAAATGCATCGTAACCTATTTTTTGCTTTGTGACACCTAATGACAGTTGTGATAAGCATGCAAAAAAAGTTTTATTCATTATACATTTCACAATTAAAAAGGTGAGTTTTATGAACACCCCTTGAACCTTTCCTCACAAACCCTAGAAAAGGCAGTCCATTGAGTCCTGAGTGTCTTCTGGATGGACCTGATTGGGGTCAGCAGATCCTCCACTGTGAACATCTGGAGGGCCCTGATCCGCATCAGCAGATCCTCCACTGGGAACATATGGAGGAACCTGATCCACACTGGCAGATCCTCCACTAGGAACGTCTGGAGTGACCTGATCCACACCAGCAGATCCTCCACGAGGTACGTCAGGAGGGACCTGATCCACACCAGCAGATCCTCCACAAGGTACGTCAGGAGGGACCTGTTCCACACCAGCAGATCCTCCACGAGGTACATCTGGAGGGACCTGTTTCACACTGGCAGGTTCCACGTGGAGGACGCTTCCACAGATGTGCCTGAGTTTTAATTGAAGTGGGAGCTGGTTTGCCAGCTCCTCAATAGTGCCTGCATAGAAATGTACAGGCACTATGTACTCATCCATATGGCTATCCAGGAGGATGAGCTTGTCGTGCATCTCTGACACTCCAACGATCTTTAGAACTGCCTCCTGGATATCCCTATCAATAAGCTGAAAAACAAAAAAAATTTTAGAAAAGGTTAGTAGAAAAGATTCAACTTGCATTTGATAAAAGTAACCGTATTTTCTGTGGATTAAGTTATCTTTTTTTAAATCATAAAGGGCGCCTATTTTATCAATTTTTTTCAAGGTTTAAGATAAGTTTTTGTGTCTCCAGAATGTTTTTGTAAAATGTTGGCTCGAAATACCCATGAGATTATTTATGATACCTTTCTCTATATATGAAATCTGAGCTGTAATGATATTATAGCTGTTTTGTTGCTTGTGCCTTTAATGCAAATGAGCTAGTTCATTAAGTTAAATTCCAAATTTATTTGCACATACAGTATTTTATAGAAACTATTCAAAAGTGCAATACTATATACTAATTGCAAATAAGTGTTTTCAGATTCATCAGATGAACTACATTTTGGTAGAAAAAATATTTTTTTTCGTATACATTTTCCAATAAGTTATGTAATGCAAACAACAGAAAAAAAAAAACTTAAGGAAAAGTTTAATTTGTACTCTTCGTGTTATTTGAATCAAACAGCCTTCTGTGATGTTTTATCCACTGTTCATCTGACACTACTATAATCGTTATTAAGGCAACAATGTCATTTCATTTCTAAATTTTTAATGTCTCTTGAAGGTTAACACTTTTAAATGTGTGTGGATTACAGATGTGCAGCATATAATGTTTACCTTAAAAGTTGTGTGATTAGAAGAGTCAAATTTTGCTCTTCCATCTGGTCTTCCGTTTACTTTCAGGTGACTGAGCTCAATGATGTCCCCGACATAGAGCTCGTTAAGTGCTTCTTCCCGCCACAGTGAGACATCATGTACTACGGAGCCACATTTCATCCGCAGGTCCAGGATCGGTATGTGAGTGCGAGTCATTCTAGGCGCTTCAACCTGGAAAATGACAAAAAGGTAAGTACTATAGTGTTTTTATTTATTTTTTTTCTTAATCCTGACACAAGAATTTACTGTCATTGAGTCGGACTGTATGTTTTGGTGATTTGAAATGTCAACATTAGCAGAAATCGCCTGTCTAAAGACATGCGGTACAGCTGAATTGGGTAGAGTAAATTGTCTGTTGTGAATGAATGTATATGTATGAGTGGATGTTTTCCAGAGATGGCTGTCAGCTGGAAGGGCATCTGCTGCGTAAAACAAATGCTGGATAAGTTAGCGGTTCATTCTGCTGTAGCGACCCCCAAATTAATAAAGGGACTAAGCCGAAAAGAAAATGAATGAATGAATTCACTTACTTTTTCTAACTGCCCCCGTAGACTCAGGTACCCAGTTTCACTGAAGATATCCTCTTCCTCTCCTGTTATAGGTCGTGAATGAGGACAGAGGGCCTCCCTTGCAGCTCTTTTAGCCTCCTCACTTATGGCTAGCGGAGCCGTCCTAAATTTGATGGTGCCTTTATTTACAAATAAACATCGGCGGCCGTATTTGTTTGAGATGGTTACATTTTTTACAATATATGAGTGTCCCTCTTCAAATTCAGGGTCACTGCCGTTTTTTATGGACAGATAAACTGCATCACCATCCGTAAGGGCACATAAAGATGTGACTTTGTAGGTGTCAACAATTATTTTGTTTTCATGTTTAATAAATGTCAAAGCCTTTTGGCTACTGTGCACTTTAACACAGGTGATGTGCAGTGGTGGTGGGCGGCTGTACGGTGTTGCCATCCTAAGAATAAGAAAAAAAGGTTACTTTGTATTAGTTGTAAATATTATGTAGAATAAATTATAATTTCTTTTTAACTCAATTCATCAATTAAACATATCAATCTAAATCTGTTTGTCTTGACTGGAATGTTGTGCTACATCCTCCTTCAAAATATCATATATTGTGTTTTATAGAAGAGAGAAACTCAAAGATTTGTAAGCATATAAGGGGGGAGTAAATTGTTTTTTTTTGTGAGGGGGGGTATTTATGCTTTTAAAGATAATTAAATATTTTGCATGGCCAAAGTCTAACAATCTAGGCCCAAATCAAGGCCTTCCTAACATCTCAAGCTAAAAGACAATAGGAAAATAATTGGCATACAATAAAGAGTCAAACTCTTTTAAACCAATAATTTACCAAACTTGTCACCAGTAATAGTTAATTTTACCAAATCATGCCCTAGGTGGGTGTGGAATGTCCTGACCTAACATTGTCTCAGTCTGCCCATGCATAGTACTGTATAACTATAATCATATTGGCATATCAGAATTAACAATTGGATAATTATAAATTGACACATTTTTACAGAATACCATCGATGCACTGTTTTATGAAACTTGTCACACTATAAGTCCTGCCTCTGACAATATAGTTTATAATGCTGTAATTGTTAAAATGAGGATAAAATACCTGGAAAAAACACTTCCTATCAGATCAAATCCTGTCAGAAAAACTATTATAGTTTACAGATTTCTATTTATTTCTTTAGATTTTGAGATTCTTGGTATGGGATTTCATCGAGGTCTGCAGTGTAGTATACAATTCATTGAAAATCCAGTAATAAATAATGCATTTATTCTTAGGAGTATTAACCTGTGCAGATACTCAGCACCGTTAAATATAAGCCACTTATTTTTTTTATATTTTATTATAAATTGGGCATATAGTATTACACAATGTTTTATTTATATAGAGCATTTTTCTAAATTTTTTTTTTTTTAATTTTTATTTTATTATTACACAAGAAGTTTGTAAAGGGTTCACTGTGAACATCAGCCTGCTTTCAAGATTTAAGATAAGTCTTTTGTGTCTTCAGAATGTGTCTTAAGTTTCAGCTCAAAATACCCATCAAATTATTTATTATACCTTCCTGGATATATATTAAAAGTCACATGAACATTATTTGAAGTAAAAAGTTAAACACAAACACAGCTGAATCAAATATTGAGTATTATTTAATTATACGACTAGTCTGTAACAGTTAAGTTAGCAGGGTTTTTCACAGCATTTTTATTGAAGAAGTGGTAATTTCTTATTTATTTCAGTCACATTAACTTTTTAAAATAAGAATAAAGTAAAAAACTAATTTAGATAAAATTGCCTCAAACACTAAAAACCCCATTCCCGGCATATAAATGATCATACTATAATTATTAAACTTAACGTTACGAATCCAGCTGTATTCTGACAAGATTTGACTGGACAGAAGTGTTATCTGAGGTATTTAAAAAAAAAACCAAAACCATGTTATTTTATAAAGGCATCTGTAGAATTTATAGTATAATATCATAATTTAATTATACTGTAATCATAATCATATAAAAGCTAAATAAGAATTAAAAAGCTCTCACCTCAGAAGTATGCTGTCTGTTGTACAACTGAAAGAATTGACAGTGATGTGTATCCAGTCAGAAGCGAGACATCCATCACCAAGGCTCATGACGTCAGATGGAAACCTTTATCGAATGATGTTCATGCATTTTTGTTTTTTATTTTTATTCATATAATAAATGTTGATTGACAATGTGGCGCATCCAATCGGAAGAGAGACATCCATCACCAAGGTACATGACGTCAGATGGATGTCCATGTGGATTGACAGTGAGGCGCATCCAATCAGAAGCGAGACATCCATCACCAAGGGACATGACGTCAGATGGAAACCTTTTATCAAATGATATCCATGTCTTTTTTATTTTTTATTTTATTCATGTAATGTTAATTGTTATTTAAAATTCATTATATGTAGTACATTGAAACATTTCTGAGGTCATAATTCATTAAAATATCACACTGATGTATTCTCTTATTAAATGAGTAATGTATTACGTTGGTCACTAGAGTGGTAAAAGACGATTGTATGCTTATCAAAACAATTATTACGATTTTGTTTTGAGTTTTATCAGTAACAATACTTATAATTTTAGTTGATATCTTTATAATTATATTGTACCTTATTTTGTACTAATATTTTTTTAGATATAAGCAAGATAAGTTTGCGAAATACCTTGGTATTTCTTTAAAAAAAAAAAAAAAAAAAGGTAAACAAATATTAACGTAAACATAAGAGTTGGCCAATGAGACCGCTGGGATTTTCCATAACCTGTCCTTAATCATCCGGTCCGATGGTCCGCACATTGGGTCTCGCATTAGGAACGATTTCTGAGGTAAATTTTCAATTAAATGTTAAAAAAAATGCGTACGGGTGCTTAAATTGGCTATATTCAGACAGATATATTATGAACTAATTGTTTTTGAGAAACAAATAAATCGTTATTAAGCATTACTATTAAATTAGTCTTGTGAGGGAACTATACCGGATGGTGTGTGACGAATTTTGTCCTCAGTCTAATTTACTCGCATTTTATACCTCCTGTTCGTTATTTTGCCATGTAAACAGTATTAATTCAGTTTGTAACGTTTGACCCCTTAACGTTATATGCTTTATAAAGAAATGCCGTCGTTTGTCACTAAATAAACTCTTGACTTTTATCCCAAAAGTATGCATTTTTTCTGTTAGTCTCCAGATTTGATGAAATATTGATGGATTCTCATGTCTTTACTTGATATTTTACCCATACTGAGGCGATGAACTTAAGAGCTTCATGCCCATTTCATTCATACGGGAAACCAGAGGGCGCCATACATAAAGGCCTTTGGCCTAGCGCAGGGGTGCTCAATCCTGTTCCTGGAGATCTACCTTCCTGCAGGTTTCAGTTGGTACCCATATCAAACACATCTGCCTGTAATTATCAAGTGGTGTGCAGGTCCTAATTTTCAGGTGTGTTTGATATGGGTACCAACTGAAATCTGCAGGAAGGTGGATCGCACGTAGATATTTACACGCACGTCGTCTTTCCTTTGTTTACTAGCGTTGCTAAGCAACGCAAACAGATGACAGTAAAAACTTAACCCGTTATATAAGATGTAGTAAAAGCATTTTCATAGTATTCTCATTTTGTACATTTTATTTCTCATTCTGTGATAAGAATTTAGCCTAATGTAACCTTAATAAAGCAGCACATAAACCACAAAAGTAGTTAAAGTGCTGCTTAACAGACAGACAAATAATGGAACTTTACATCTTTATCTTAATAGACACATATTCATCCATCCCTGTGTATTATTTGGCACGTCTCCCTTTTCTCCACGTTTTTCCCTTTTCAATTCAATCATTGTTTTTTTTTTTTGGCATGACAAATGTATTGCCAGATATACAATAAATTCCTGTCTATGTATACTTAATATTCTAATGGTTCGACATTATATATTAACAATAACAATACAATTTATTCCTGGCTCAAAATAAGGCAGAGGTGGTGATCAAGAATTTTTTTCCTACTTGAAACAAACACATTTTGCATCAAGTAAATATAATTTAATTGAAAAGAGACATTAAATGTAAGTACAAAACATTATTAGCTAATCTGTTTATTTAAAGTAATCTCACATTCTATGATATATATGAGTAAATATGAAATGGATGCAACAATAATTAAAAGTGACGCAGTGGGTAGCACGATCACCTCACAGCAAGAATGTCGCTGGTTTGAGCCTCGGCTGGGTCAGTTGGCATTTCTGTGTGGAGTTTGCATGTTCTCCCTGTGTTGCCGTGGGTTTCCTCCGGGTGCTCCGGTTTCCCCCACAGACCAAAGACATGTGGTATAGGTAAAGTCTGTAGTGTGTGTGTGTGTGAATGGGTGTGCATGGATATTTCCCAGTGATGAGTTGCAACTGAAAGGGCATCCCCTGCTTAAAATAAATGCTGGATAAGTCGGCGGTTCCTTCTGCTGTGGCGACCCCTGGTTAATAAAGGGACTAAGCTGAAAAGAAACTAAATGAATAATTTACAGAAGTGTTTTATTAAACTCGAAAAAACTGAATTCAACTAAGTCTGAGACAGACCAAGGGTATTTTAAAGCTTACTGTACAATTATTTCAAAGATTTTTTTTTCTGACTACTGATGAAATGAGACCAAAAATAAAATAATAAACCAGCAAAATAATCATGTTCACAGCACAAATGCCATAATGACTTCATCACGTGTAGCTGTGACTGGTTACCTAATTGTTGTCAAGGTGGATGTGGTACAAATTTAACAAGAGAGAATTTTCTCTATGCAAAATCATGAACAATAATATTGTAACTTTAAACTAATATCAGTGAACTATAATAATGATTTCTTTATTTTATTTTCATTGCTTGTCTATAAATGAGCCATGTCTATATCTTTGTATACCAGATCATTGCACCCTCTGCTCCAAGTTATCTTTTAACTAAATGTTTTGGCAGTAACTGTCAAGGTTTGTATTTGTTTATTTATTGATCTACTTTTTTTTTACTCATCTTTTAGATTGTGTTGTCCTCTACCACTTCTTCCAGCTGAAGAGTGATCACCAGTACCTTTCTTAAGGTAATTAATGTTTATTTTCACCTCATTAATAAATGTTTTTCATGGGATTGTGGCTGCATTGGCCTTCTTTGCAAGTATCATTTTACATGTTACACATTATCTGTTTAAATTTTAATTTATTGTACATGTACTGTAAGTTCTACATAGACATTGCCATCATAATTATCTACCATTTACAGTCCATATAAACATGTAATGCTAAGTAACACCAATGTCTCAAAGACTTAATGTATCAGATTGTGTAAACAAAATTGTCTCTTTTTTTACAGCAGTTGGACATCTTTATTACTGTCTATTTAAGAACTATTTTTCAACCATCTACTTAATGACTTTTATTTATTTATTTAGTATTAATTTTCCTCCCTCAATTCAATAAGTAATCATTTTGAAATTATTGACATTATATATTATTATTGTTATTATATATTATTATTAGTAGTATTATTTAGTAATTAGCTGTTAACATATTTCACGTTTAGCTGATCATTTTGTAAATCAAATGCAACCGTGTATAAAGAATGTTATTAACTCTGTGTGTGTGTGTGTGTGTGTGTGTGTGTCTTGGTGTGGTTGTGTCCTTTACTGTCCTTTACTGTCCTGTCCTATCTATACCTTTATAATCATTTTTCACTCAAAACTTTGTATTGCTTCAATCTCCACCTCTTGCTCATTCCATTCTTTCTCTTCCGAAAACCAAAAACTTGCTGGCTGCCAAAAACCCAAAACGCTGCTGCACTGCTTGCTGCTTTGCTTGCCTGCGACCCAAATATAATACCACCCAAAACGCAATCCAACATGCAAAATCCCAAATGCTAATGCGTGCTTGCAATTGCATCTCAAAAAGAAAAAGCCAGAACAAATCTCAAACTCTTTGAAACCAAAAACTCTTGACTGTGAAAAACTCTTGATTCTGAAAATTATTTGACAGTAAAAAAGTTGATTGCCTGTGAAAAGCTCAAAGTAAACATCAAACTGAGGTAAGAACTACTACTGATTAAGAAAAGAGAGAAATTAATTTTCAGATTTCACCAACATTGAATATCAACTCTTTTGGAGTCAACAATCATTTTTGATTGATATAACTTCACAATAAGTAATTCTTACTGTTATCTTGTTATACATCACATATTTTACATTTCGTTGTGACCTTTTACCTACTAGTACATATATCTATTTTTAGTACTCATATCCTTTCACATCTGCATTTGCTTAATTGCCAGTTTCGAAACATCACAATGCCAAAAAAAGGAAAGAGGAGTGAATCTCAGAAACAGCGCAGAAAACGAGAAGCTTCATTTGGCACCAGTAGCAGTGCCAGCTCTGTATCAGGTAAGAATGATGCATACGTTATGTCTGTTACAGCATCCCACTGCCAAAACGATGACAGGTACAGTAGTTACTCTAGAAACCGCCAGTGTACTTGCAATTCATTGATGTTCCTAGCAGTCCACAATGAACGCAATGAGCTAAAGAGTTTTGATTTAGACTGGATTTTACAGAGAGGCGATGCAGTTTACACTGTCGTCAAACAATCGCTCCAGAGCAAAGGCCAGTTTGTCGATAGTTTTTTAAACTTTGATGAGCTACCAAACTCAATGCAGACAAATGCTCACCAGTATGACATTCTTAAACATCCTCAAAGATCTGGGCTTCTAAACGATACACCTGCCCTAGATGAGTATGAAAATCTTGAGAATACACTGCAGTGTCTTAAAAATGATGCGACTCATGCATTGCTGCTGTGTGGAGGATTGTGTATCGCTGTATTCAGAGATCGCTCAGGGAGGTTTGGCTACTTTGATTCTCACTGCAGAAAACCAGACGGGATGTATACAGGTGAAAGAACAGGGACAGCCGTGATGTTGACATTTTTCCATTTAAAAGACATGGTAGAGAGACTACTTCTTTTGTTTCAAGGGTGCTTCCAGTTTAGTGATCAAGAACAATTTGATCTTTTACCAGTGTCATTCATTGAAGTTACAGAAACTGATGTGCATTCAGAAGTCCCAATGAAGTGCCGTGTGCTTGAACGTGAAGGAATACCATGCGTTTCTTTTGAGAAGGCTCCAAATCATCATTCACAATCTACAATTAAGCAGATAAAAACATTTAATAAGACTCAAAATAATTTTCTATCGGTTGCAGCATCCCACTGTCAAAGTGATGTCAGGTACGACAGTAGCTCCAGAAACCGGCAGTGTACGTGCAATGCCTTAATGTTCCTAGCAGTCCACAATGAAAGTAATCAGCTACAGAGTGCTGATCTAGATTGTGTCTTACAGAAAGGTGATGCAGTTTACAGTAGTGTCAAACGATCTCTCCAGAACAAAGGCCAGTTTGTACATGATTTTTTAAATTTTGATGAGCTACCGAGCACAATTGAGACAAACTCCCAATGTTACAACATTGTAAAACATCCTCAGAGGTTTGGTTTTCTGAAAGATACACCTGCTCTAGGAGAGTATCAAAATCTTGAGAATACACTGCAGTGTCTTAAAAGTGGTTTAACTGATGCATTGCTGCTTTGTGGAGGCTCATGCATTGCTGTTTTTAGAGATCGCACAGGGAGGTTTGGCTATTTTGATTCTCACAGTAGAACACCAGATGGCATGTATACTGGTGAAAAATCAGGCACAGCCGTGATGTTGACCTTTCTTCATTTAAAAGCCATGGTAGAGAAACTACTTCAGTTGTTTCAGGGGTGTTTGCAGTTGAGTGATCAAGAACAGTTTGATCTTTTACCTGTGTCATTCATTGAAATTACTGGAAATTATGTCCACACGGAAGTCTCAAAGGAGTGCCATGAGCCTGAAGATGATGTAGCTAATGAACAGTCCCATTCAACTTATCAAGATAAAATTAATGTTGTAACTACCTTCACTAACAATCAGGGCAGATTAAAACCCAACGTATTATTAAGTGAGTTTTCTTATGACATCTCGTCAACTTGTCAGTTGGCTTTGTCAGCTCCAAATCAAATACATTCACCGTTGACATTTGAGAAGCCAAAAAAACTTAATAAAGCTCAAAAGCGAAAGTTTTATTGCAACAAAAGGCGCAAAATAATGGCTCAGAGACAAGATAATTATACAAAAATACAGAATGCAAGTAAGGATTACGTGTATAAAACAAGTAGTGAATACAGACAAAAACATAAACAAGCCATGAAAAACAGCTATTGGAACAACATGATTTACAGAGAGCAGCACAAAAAAGCTATGAAAAGCAACTATGAAATTAATGAAAATAGAGAGAGAAAAAAAAGGAATGCAATAAGCAAGTACAGGAATGATGAACAATACAGAAATAGGAAAAAAAGTAAAATAATCTTAAATTACATAAATAATGAACAATTTAGAAAGAGACAAAGGAATTATATAATTCAAAAGTACAGGAAAAATGATCAATTCAGGGAGAGACAAAAGTATTCTATAATTCAAAAATACAGGACTGATGATCAATTCAGGGAGAGACAAAAGCACTATAGAATTCAAAAATACAGGACTGATGATCAATTCAGGGAGAGACAAAAGCACTATATAAAGGAAAATTATAGAAACAATGCCAAATATAAGGAACAACACATGCAATATCTTGTTAATAGATATTTAAATTATCCAGATTTTAGGCAAAGGCAAAGGGAACACTATAGAAACAGATGCAAAAATGATCCTCTTTTTTATGAAAAAAGAAAAAAACAATTTAAGCAACGTTATCAATGTGATGCACAGTTTAGGGCTCGCCAGAACAATTATAATTTATTCAAATCTAACAATTTGAAAAAAAATGAAAAAATGTCTAAACTTAAGGCTCTTCACAAAGTGCACTGCGCACAGAGCATACAATGTAAATACAAAAAAATGTTTCTGATACGCCAGCAAACAGAAATGTTACAAAATATTCAGCCTGACATAGATCCAGTCATGGTAACTGCCTTAAATATATTCAGAGATGTTATAAAACAGGGTCCAACTTATGTCTGCACATGCTGTGCCAGGGCACTCTTCTTAAATCAAGTACGTAGATGTGATCGAGAGAAGTATCAAAAGAATCCAGAGCTGGTTTCACTTTGTTTGACTGCGAACTATGTACACATCAGCTCCAACTGTCCAGATCAATGTAACTTGGAAGACATGACAACAGAGTGGATCTGTCATTGCTGTCATACGACCCTTTTAACAGGTCAAATGCCAGATATTGCTGTATTCAACAAGCTTCAGTTTTTTCCCATTCCCTCAGAACTTTGTAATTTGAATATCCTAGAAAGACATGTTATTGCAAAATACATTCCGTTTGCTAAAATTTTATCTCTTCCTAAAGGTCAACAGAGAGCTATTAAAGGAGCTGTAATTTCTGTTCCATCTGAAGTAGAAACAACAGTGAATAGTTTACCTAGACCAAGAAATGATTCACAGCTGCTAACAGTGAAACTGAAAAGACGTCTATGCTACCAGGGTCACTATCAGTTTCAGACTTTAAACATGCATAAAGTTTTGTCTGCTTTAAAAAAACTGAAAGAAATCCATTCAGAATATAAAAATATATGCATTAATACAGCATTTTTTGAAGAAGAAATGTTTAGTGAGCATGAAGAGGATGAAATGAATATTGAAGATCGCAGCCAAAATGAGAATATTGAAGAACAGAGCAATGAGAATGTGCAAAATGATGACACTGAGACCACTGCAGAAGAACAATCAAGAGGTCTTGCTTTGGATACATGTCTTCAACCTCCAGATCTTGCTCAGCAGCTATTGTCCTATGATGATGGGATATTTTGTATTGCCCCAGCTCAAGGAAACAAACCTGTAAGCATTTTTAAAGTACCTAAACTCGAATCCATGGCATTTCCAGTGCAGTTTCCAGATGGAAAGAACACCTTTGATGAGCCTCATAGAGCCAAACATATTTCCCCTAGCAGGTATTTTAATTCTAGACTGTTGTCTATAGACAATCGTTGTGCAAGAGATACTAACTATATCTTCTTTGCACAATTTGTGACCGAAATGCACATGGCCACATCTAGTATGTCTATCCAGCTGAGGAAAGCAAAACCCATGACCCGTGATGGACGAAGAATAAACTGTTCACTGCTGCAGGACAAACGGGAGTTAGAAAAACTTGTATTAAATAAGGAAGCAACCCGTTTTATGCAGCCATTAAGAGGGACTCCAGCATACTGGGAGAAAACTCTTCGTGATTTGTTTGCTATGCTTCGGCAGCTGGGCACTCCAACATTTTTCTGTACATTTAGTGCTGCTGAAATGAGATGGCCTGAAGTGATTACTGCCATTAAAACACAACAGCGTGAAACTGTAAACTTTGCTGATTTAGACTGGTCAGAAAAATGTGAAATCTTGAAAAGCAACCCAGTAACAGCTATGAGAATGTTTGAAAAACGCGTTGAGGCCTTAATGAGAGATTTAATCATGTCACCTGCTCAACCTGTTGGTGAGGTTATTGACTTTTTTTACAGAGTAGAGTTTCAACTTCGTGGCTCTCCGCACATTCATTGTTTATTTTGGGTAAAAGATGCTCCAGAGTTTGAACATGATCAAGATCAGGTGGTTTGTGATTTCATAGATAAATACATTTCATGCAAATTACCAGATGTAATCAAAGACCCAGAATTGCATAGAATTGTAAGTGAGGTGCAGATGCACAGCCGTAACCACTCCAAATCTTGCAGAAAGAACAATAAGCATTGCCGATTTGGATTTCCTAAACCACCAATTAATAGGACTATTATAACTCGTCCCAGACCTCCTCCAGAAAATCAATCAAATGAACAAGGTGAATCAACAGAGGAAAATCATCCTTTTAATGCTAAAAATGCTAAAGCTGAGCTTCAGAAAGTGTGGGATCTACTGAATGACTCAACTAAGAGTTTTGAAAACGTAACAGATTTACTTAATCAAGTAAACATGACTTATGAGGATTATGAGAATCACATTGACGCTCTTTCTAAATCAAGTGTAATAGTTATGGAGAGACGACCACAGGACTGCTGGGTTAACGGCTATAATCCACTACTATTAAGAGCCTGGAATGCAAATATGGATATGCAATTCATTCTGAACCCCTACAGCTGCATCATGTACATGCTGTCATACATTTCAAAAGCTGAACATGAGATGAGTGATTACTTAAAAACTGTTATAAGAGGGTCGAGCCATGATGACTTGTCTGACCGTGAATGCATGAAAAAGGTCATGAATGCCTATTCAAAGAACAGAGAAGTCAGTGCTCAAGAGGCAGTTGCTCGCACATGCAGCCTGAAGTTGAAATCATCATCACGTGCTGTCATATTCATTCCAACGGATGACAATGCTGTAAAAATGAGTTTACCCATGAAATACTTGCAGAATATGGATGATGATGTAGAGAATGTCTGGATGACTGGACTGCCAGACAAGTACAAGGCCAGACCAAACAGACCTGAATTCGAGAACATGTGCATGGCTGAATTTGCCAGTGAGTACCGCATTGTTTATGCAGGACAAACAAAGCGAAAAAATGTTTTGCCACTTCAAAATAAATTGGGACACATACAGAAAAGGACAAGGGGAAAGCCTGCTGTTATTAGATTTGCTCGATTTTCAGAGAAAAAAGATCCAGAAAAATTCTATGGAACTCTGCTAAAACTCTACTTGCCATATCGTACAGATAGCCAGTTGAAATGTGCACGATTCCCAACATATCAAACCTTTTATGCATTAGCTTCAGTAAAACTACCAGGAAGTGATGAAGTGCAGCGTGTTTACAACATTGTAAGTGAAAATCGTGAAAAATATGAAAAACATAATGAGGATATAGAAAGGGCAATTGAAGATTTTGAAAAGAATGGTCCAATTGAAGATGCATGGACTACATTGGCACCGACAAATGAACTGATACGATTGGAAAGCATTATGGAGCGAGAACCTATTGATCCTAATGAAGTTAATGAACAAGATGACATTCCTGAATACACTGCATCCAGCTCTGTCAGTAACACAGCTATGCTGCTAATGGAGGCTGCCAAACTAAATACTGCACAGATTCGCAAAATGTATCAGAGCTTGAACCAAACACAAGCTTCCATATTTTATGCTGTGCGGGACTGGTGCAAAAGATGCGTTTCCGGTGAAAAACCACAACAGTTTCTCTACTTTCTTAATGGAGGAGCCGGTGTGGGCAAATCACATGTTGTTAAATCTATTTATGCAGAAGCATCCAAAATACTGCGTAGGCTTCCATGTATGCAAGAGAATACTGACATTTCCAAAACTACTGTTCTTTTAACTGCATTCACGGGTACTGCAGCCTTTAACATCTCTGGTAAAACACTGCACTGTCTTCTAAAGCTGCCAAGAAGCTTGAAGCCTCCATATCAAGGTCTGGGAAACATTTTAGATGAAATCAGAGCAGATCTTTCTAATGCACACATTTTAATTATTGATGAAATATCGATGGTGTCAAAGCAGTTATTTGCCTATGTAAACTGGAGACTTCAACAAATTAAGGGAAATCAGAAACCTTTTGGTGGTCTGTCTGTACTCTGTGTTGGTGATTTTTACCAGCTTCCACCACTGGGAAGAGCAAAACCACTTTGTGTTTATGAGGAGCATGTGTTGGACTTCTGGAAAGATCATTTTCAAATGATAACGCTGACACAGATAATGAGACAGAGAGAGGATCTTTCATATGCTGAACTTCTTAACCGTCTTAGAATAAAACAGAAACACGAGAAGCTAACTGATGCAGACAAATGTATGTTAGAAGCTGTCATAAAATCTGCCCCTGAAGAGTGTCCCTCTGATGCTCTGCACATCTATGCAACTAATAAAGAGGTAGATAGTCACAACACAGCAGTCATATCGTCACGTTTTTCTGAAATTATCACAGTTTATGCCAATGATTACAAAAAAGATCCACGAACGGGTGAAATGAAGCGCCAAGGTGTACCACTGAAAGGTGACAAACGTGATCTTGTTGATACACTACAGATTGCTATCGGTGTACGAGTAATGCTTATTAGAAATATTGATGTAGAAGATGGTCTGGTGAATGGTACTTTTGGAAAGGTAGCAAAAATAACAACTCTGAACCGAGATGATGTTCCGTTTGTGCACTTAATTGGTTTGCATTTGGATGATGTGAATGCTGGACAAAAACATCGTAACAAAGCACCTGGAGATGACAATATTGTCTATATTGAGAGATTAGAAGAACCACTAAAAAGAAAAGGAACAATTCGTAGACAATTTCCCATGAAACTTGCTTTTGCTTGCACCATACATAGAGTGCAAGGAATGACAACTGATTGTGCCGTTGTATCTCTGAAACATATATTTGAACCTGGCATGGCGTACGTTGCACTCAGCAGAACAACAACACTCAGCGGATTGCACATTATCGATTTTAATGAAAATAAAATTTTCTGTGATCCAGAAATACGCACCTCCTTGGAGAGCATGCCAAAAGCTGATTTTCACAATTTTCAGCCCATCTTAGATTTATTGCAGGATTCAAACCTAAATTCAGCACTTAAAATCATTCACCATAACACAGAAGGTCTTCAGTGTCATATGGATGATTTAAAATGCCACCATGAACTTTTATTGGCAGACATATTGTGTCTCAGTGAAACGCATCTATCTGGCTCCTGTGTTCCTGAATATCTCCAGCTGGATGGATACACCATGTACAAGCGCAACAGGCATTCATCCTACACAAACTATGCACATTTAGCGAACAAGAGTGGTGGTGGTGTAGCCATATATGTGAAGAACATCTTTCAAGCTCGTCCTATGATGTATATCCAGAATGTTACAGATTTGGAATATCTGGTTTTGAAGATAGAAACCCCCAAACAAGCACTTCTTGCAGTGATCTACAGACCACCCAGTTACCAACTATCAGAGTTTTTGCTCAATCTCAATGGCCTTTTGACTTCTCTGGAGATTCTGAACATCAAGCCTGTTATAGTGTGTGGAGACTTCAATGAAGATCAGCTGTCCCGTTGCAACAAACCCATTCTCAATTTGTTTCATGATAAAGGATACACACAACTCATCAGCACCGGAACAACAGAAAACAACACTCTTCTTGATCCTGTTTTCATAAGCAGCGCACACTCAAATGTAAGAGCAGGAGTTCTACAGACATATTACAGCTATCATGATCCTGTGTATTGTGTTTTAGAATAGATACATCAAATATAGAAAAACTGCATACGTCTTATTAAGCTTTTCTGTAATATAGTTAGATAACTTATTGAAATAATAATCATAATAAATGCAAATTATACTAAGCTGTTCACATTGTCTTCTTGTGTGCATGTGTGTGTGAATGTGTTATTATAGACTGTCTGTCTGTGTGTGTCTGTGTTTGAATGTATTAGATAAAGAATGAATGGTGAGTGAATGTCCTTTCCAAGGATCGCCACCTTGACGTGGTGGAAAGGCTTGTGTGTACCAGTGATCCCGAAAGTAAGCCATTTTGGAGCATTTTACACTCAATGGCTATGCTTAGGGGGAGGTTCCAGACTAAGGCGATCCAAAACATTAATTTAATAAAATATTATGCTGTGTGGAATTACTTGACTGTCTTTATTGATTTATGCAAAATTGTTAATTCAGTGACAAAAACTTTCAAATATACAGATACTAAATTAGCCTATTGATAGCATGATTCTAGCACAAATTAGCATGATGTTAACATTATTTCACTGCAGATGTTGTTAGAATGATAAAAGTATGGGTTAGAAGATTATTGGCAGGATTTTAGTACAAATTAACGTGTTAACAGGATTCTAGCATGTTGTTAGCATGTTTATAGTTTGAATTAACATGTTGTTAGCATGTGAGCATAATTCTACTACAAATTACCAAGTTATTAGCATAATTTCAGTATGAATTAGCATGATAGCATGATTTTACTATCAACTACCATGTTACTAGAATGATTCTAGCATGAATTAGCATGTTATTAGAATGGTTCTAGCTTAAATTGGCATGGTTCTAGCATGTTACTAGCATCATTATAGCATGAATTAGCATGTTACTAGCATGATTCTAGCATGAATTAGCATGATTCTAGCATGAACTAGCATGTTGTTAGCATGATTCTAGCATGAACTAGCATGATTTTAGCGTGAATTAGCATGTTACTAGCATGATTTTAGCATGAATTAGCATGTTGTTAGCTTGATTCCAGCATGAATTAGCATGTTACTAGCATGATTCTAGCATTTAATAATCAAGCATTTAATTAGCATGTTGTTAGCATGATTCTAGCATGAATTAGCATGTTGTTAGCATGATTCTAGCATGAACTAGCATAATTTTAGCGTGAATTAGCATGTTACTAGCATGATTTTAGCATGAATTAGCATGATTCTAGCATGAATTAGCATGTTGTAAGCATGATTTTAGCATGAATTAGCATGTGACTAGCATGATTCTAACATTAATTAGCATGTTACTAGCATAATTATAGCATGAATTAGCATGTTACTAGCATGATTCTAGCATGAATTAGCATGTTACTAGCAATATTCTAACAAATTAGCATGTTGTTAGCACAATTATAGCATGAAATAGCATGTTACTAGCATGATTCTAGCATAAATTAGCATGTTGTTAACATGATTCTAGCATGAATTAGCATGTTACTAGCATGATTCTAGCATGAATTAGCATGTTGTTAGCATGCTTCTAGCATGAATTAGCATGTTACTAGCACGTTTCTAGCATGAATTAGCATGTTACTAGCACGATTCTAGCATGAATTAGCATGTGACTAGCATGATTCTAGCACGAATTAGCATGTTGTTAGCATGATTCTAGCACGAATTAGCATGTTGTTAGCACGATTCTAGCATGAATTAGCATGTTACTAGCACGATTCTAGCATGAATTAGCATGTTACTAGCAAAATTTTATCATTAATTAGCATGATTCTAGCATTAATTAGCATGTTGTTAGCATGATTCTAGCATGATTTAGCATGTTACTAGCATGATTCTAGCATGAAATAGCATGTTACTAGCATGACTCTAGCATGATTCTAACATGAATTAGCATGTTGTTAGCACGATTCTAGCATGAATGAGCATGTTGTTACCATGATTCTAGCATGAATTAGCATGTTACTAGCATTAATCTAGCATGAATTAGCATGTTGTTAGCACGATTCTAGCATGAATTAGCATGTTGTTAGCACGATTCTAGCATGAATTAGCATGTTGTTACCATGATTCTAGCATGAATTAGCATGTTACTAGCATTATTCTAGCATGAATTAGCATGTTGTTAGCACGATTCTAGCATGAATTAGCATGTTTTTAGCACGATTCTAGCATGTATTAGCATGTTACTAGCATGATTCAAGCATAAATTAGCATGATTCTAGCATGAGTTAGCATGTTACTAGCATGATTCTAGCATGAATTAGCATGTTGTTAGCATGATATTAGCATGAATTAGCATGTTACTAGCAATATTCTAGCATGAATTACCATATTGTTAGCACGATTCTAGCATGAATTAGCATGTTTTTAGCACGATTCTAGCATGTATTAGCATGTTACTAGCATGATTCTAGCATAAATTAGCATGTTGTTAGCATGATTCTAGCATGAATTAGCATGTTACTAGCATGATTTTAGCATGAATTAGCATGTTCTTAGCATGATGGATAGATAGACAGACAGACAGACAGATAGATAGATAGATAGATAGATAGATAGATAGATAGATAGATAGATAGATAGAGGTAGATAGACAGATATAGATAGACAGATATAGATAGATAGAGGTAGGTATATAGATAGATAGATAGATAGATAGATAGATAGATAGATAGATAGATAGATAGATAGATAGATAGATGATAGATATATAGATAGATAGAGGTAGATAGATAGATAGATAGATAGATAGATAGATAGATAGATAGATAGATAGATAGATAGAGGTAGGTATATAGATAGATAGAGATAGATAGATAGATAGATAGATAGATAGATAGATAGATAGATAGATAGAGGTAGATAGATAGATAGATAGATAGATAGATAGATAGATAGATAGATAGAGATAGATAGATAGATAGATAGATAGATAGATAGATAGATAGATAGATAGATGGTGTGCGAGCATGAGTCAAACAAGCCAACCCCCGCCTCTCTACGATGTTCTGATGCTGAGATATAGCTGGTGCCATATCGTTGCTAGGTTACTCTGTTTTGTTGCTATGGAGTTGATTGACAGCTTAGACTGATGATGTATCAAAGCTTCTTGCCAGTATGAACAGTTAAAAACAACCCCCATGTCTCTATCACACTGCAGCATGACAATATCAGTCTGAACCTCTTTAATGGCAGTCTATGGGACAGTTGCTAGGGTGCAGTATCTGGTTGTTAGGGTGTGGCTAAAAAGTTAAAAGGCCATCAGTGATTGGCTGCTGGCTAGACTGAGTTAAATGAGCTCAATCATTAGTCTGTAGGACAGTCTGATGCAGAGTTATGAGCTCACAAAGTTTGATCCAATGTAAAGTCAATGAGAGTCTTTTGCAATGGAAGTCTATGGGACGGTTTCTAGGGTCCAAAAGTGGTTGCTAGGGCGTGGCCAGAAAGTTTAAAGGTGATCAGTCATTGGCAGTTTGATAGTCTGAGTTAAATGAGCCCAGTTAGAAGTCTGTGTGACATTCTGATGCGGAGTTATTAGGTCACAAAGTTTGATCCAATGTTAAGTCTATGGGATTTTTCCGACGGTCCCGGGACGTTTTTCGGGAAACCGAAAGTCGGATCAGTCGGAAAGGATATAGCAACTCGAGTCAGAATAGTTCGGAGGTCTGACCCGAGTTTGATGGTCATAGCTTGAAAGGCCTAGGACGAGATAGAGTTTAATTTTTAGTCTCAGAAGAAGAATAATAAAATTAACTAGATTCTTAAAGTTTGAGAACAAACTTTGAGGCTGGCTTGTGAAAGCCTGACGGTAATAGTTTATTTAAACAGTTTTAAAAAGTATGAAAAGATAGATAGATAGATAGATAGATAGATAGATAGATAGATAGATAGATAGATAGATAGATAGATAGATAGATAGATAGATAGATAGATGTTGTTAGCATGATTCTAGCATGAATTAGCATGTTACTAGCATGATTCTAGCATGAAGTAGCATGTTGTTAGCATGATTCTAGCATGAATTAGCATGTTACTAGCATGATTCTAGCATGAATTAGCATGTTGTTAGCACGATTCTAGCATGAATTAGCATTTGACTAGCATGATTCTAGCATGAATTAGCATGTGACTAGCATGATTCTAGCATGAATTAGCATGTGACTAGCATGATTCTAGCATGAATTAGCATGTTGTTAGCATGATTCTAGCATGAAGTAGCATGTTGTTAGCATGATTCTAGCATGAATTAGCATGTTACTAGCATGATTCTAGCATGAATTAGCATGTTGTTAGCACGATTCTAGCATGAATTAGCATTTGACTAGCATGATTCTAGCATGAATTAGCATGTGACTAGCATGATTCTAGCATGAATTAGCATGTTGTTAGCATGATTCTAGCATGAATTAGCATGTTACTAGCATGATTCTAGCATGAATTAGCATGTTGTTAGCATGATTCTAACATGAATTAGCATGCTACTAGCATGATTCTAGCACGAATTAGCATGTTGTTAGCATGATTCTAACATGAATTAGCATATTACTAGCATGATTCTAGCATGAATTAGCATGTTGTTAGCATGATTCTAGCATGAATTAGCATGTGACTAGCATGATTCTAGCATGAATTAGCATGTTGTTAGCATGATTCTAGTATGAATTAGCATGTGACTGGCATGATTCTAGCATGAATTAACATGTGACTAGCATGATTCTAGCATGAATTAGCATGTAACTAGCATGATTCTAGCATGAATTAGCATGTGACTAGCATGATTCTAGCATGAATTAGCATGTGACTAGCATGATTCTAGCATGAATTAGCTTGTTGTTAGCATGATATATAGATAGATAGATAGATAGATAGATAGATAGATAGATAGATAGATAGATAGATAGATAGATAGATAGATAGATAGATAGATAGAAAGAGGTAGATAGATAGATAGATAGATAGATAGATAGATAGATAGATAGATAGATAGATAGATAGAAAGAGGTAGATAGATAGATA